CCTTCTCCTTAACACCTGCACCCTGCTCGCAGCTGCCCGGAGCGCTGCCCGCGGCTTTTCCGTTTAAACCGCTCAGCCTTTGAGGCTCTGGCGGCGTCTGTTGCAGGGAGGGTCTGGGCCTGTCGTTTGCAGCAGACGCCCCTCTGGGTTCCCCACACCCTCGCCACGGAAGGTGACGTGGGCTGCCCCTCACTGCCTGTGTCCCCCAAGGGGCGGCACAGCTGATGAGCGTCTGTTAATGGGGTCCGTCCTGCGGAGGACGGCCTTGTGGGCGTGCTGGCACCGCTGGGGTGGTGCTGGCTTGGCAGGAGCTGTCAAGAGTGGGGGCGCGGCCATGGATCCCCCGTTGGTGGTCAGCTCCGCCTGGGCCTGGGGGTGGTGTGAGGCTGTGCCCGGCCTCTGGGAGGCGTGCAGCGGTGTCGCGGGGAACCTGGGGTCCTCCCTGACGTCCTGTGGGGCTTTGGTGGTCGACGGCACTTCTGAGGAGACGTTTAGGGTTTGCAGTTAGGACTTTACGGTGTCTTCAACCGGACGGAGGCCTGTGAGCCCCTGGGCGTGCTGTGCCCTGACCGCGGCTGTGTGTGCCTGTGCTTGTTTACAGCCCCACGGTCACGACGACTTTAAAAAACCTCGGGGCACTTTACAGACGTCAGGGCAAGTTTGAGGCTGCCGAGACGTTGGAGGAAGCGGCCATGAGGTCACGGAAGCAGGTCAGTCAGGCGCAGGTGGCCATGTCCCCCCAGTGCCGCCGAGCCAGGCTCCCTCCTGCCTGGAGGTCGCGGCCGCGTCACGGAGGCTTCCAGAGCGCCGCCGAGCACTGGCCCTGGTGCGAGCCCGTGGCCTCCGTTGCTGCCCAGCCCCCTGCGAGTTTCTGTGAGGCGCCCACACTGTCCTCAAGGCCAGCGGGCAGCCTTGGCGCGCACGGCGCACGTCAGCTGAGCAGGGCCGTGAGCGGGCTGGAGCTCCAGCGGGCAGCCCCGACGGCCCTCAGCAGGCCTGAGCAGCTTGGGTGGGGGGAGGCGGCGCCCGCGGGCTC